TCTGCGAAGTGGTCACCCAGTCTACGCTTTGTTTCCCCAGTGTAGAGGAGACCGCATTGTGAGCAGCAACTTCAGTAGACTAGATTGTGGGAAATGCAGGTGAAGTGTTGCTTCACCTGGAAGGTATGTTTGGGCCTTTCGATACTGGGGAGGGAGGAGGTAAATGGGCAGGTGTTGCACCTTTGCCGGTCCCTGCGGAAGGTGGACAAGGGAGGGGAGGGGAATATGTGTCTGGTGGTGGCAGCTTGCTGGAGGTGGCGGAAATGGCGTCTGATGATCTTCTGGATGTGGATGCTGGTAGGATGGTAGGTGAGGTCAAGGGGAACCCTATCGCCGTTGCAAGAGGGAAGAGAAGGGGTGAGGGCGGAAGTGCAGGAGATGGGTCGGACCTGGTTGGGGGCCCTGTCGACAATGGAGCTGAGGAATCCTCGGTTGAGGAAGAAGGTGGACATTTCAGAGGCTCCCTTGTCAAAGTTGGCCTCATCGGAACATATGTGACGGAGACGGAGGAACTAAGAGAATGGGATGGAGTCTTTACAGGAAGTGGAGTGTGAGGATGTACAGTGCAGGTAGCTGTGGGAGTCAGAGGGTTTGTAATGGATATTAGTGGCCAGTCTATCCCCAGAAATGGAAACAGAAATGTCGAGGAAGGGAACGGAGGAGTCAGAGATAGACCAGGTGAAAGTGAGAGCAGGGTGGAAATTGGAAGCGAAATTGAAGAACTTTTCCAATTCCAGACAAGAGGGAAGCAGCACTGATGATATCATCGATGTATCGGAGAAAGAATTGTGGGTGGGGGCCGGAATAGGGACTGGAACAAGGAATGTTCCACATACCCCATGAAGAGACAGGCATAACTAGGGCCCATGCGGCAACCCCTCTTACCTGAAGAAAATGAAAGGAGTTAAAAGAGAAGTTGTTGAGGGTAAGGATGAGCTTGGCCAAGTGGAGGAGGGTGGTGGTGGGTGGGAATGGTTCAGGTCTTTGCTCCAGGAAGAAGCGGAGAGCCCTAAGACCCTCCTGGTGGGGAATGGACGTGTAAAGGGATTGCACATCCATGGTAAAGAGGTGGCTGGAGCCTGCAAACTGGAAAATCTGAAACTGGTGTAAAGCATTAGACGAATCACAGAAGTACATGGGCAGAGATTGGACCAGGGGAGGTAAGACTGAATCCAGGTAGGAAGAGATGAGTTCTGTGTGGCAGGAGCAAGCTGAAACAATGGGTCTGCCCAGACAGTCCTGTTTGTGGATTTTCAGGACAGGTAGAAGTGAGCTGTGTGGGACTGGGGGACTATCAACTTGGAGGCAGGGACCGTTCCCTCTGGGACACCCTGGTCCGCACTTCCTTCACCCCTAACACCACCCCACTGCCCTACGGCACCTTCCCCTGTAACCGGCGAAGGTGCAACACCTGCCCATTTACCTCCTCCCTCCCCAGTATCCAAGGGCCCAAACATACCTTCCAGGTGAAGCAACACTTCACCTGCACCCCCCAGAATCTAGTCTACTGCATTTGCTGCTCACACTGTGGTCTCCTCTACATTGGGGAAACGAAACATAGACTGAGTGACCACTTCGCAGAACATCTACATTCTGCTCGCAAAAAAGACCCTGAGCTACCTTTCCCTGCCACTTCAAGGCACCACCCCGCTCCCTGGCCAAAATCTCTGTCTCTGGCTTGTTACAGTGTTGCAGTGAAGCCCAAGGCAAGCTGGAGGAACAACACCTCATTTTCCGCTTGGGGACCCTACAGCCCTCCAGACTCAATATTGAGTTCAATAATTTTAGGACCTAAACTCTCCCATGTCCCAGCCCCCCACCTCACACCCCTGGCCGTGTTACACATAACCTGCCACTACACACCACCTATTGTTAGTCACTAACAGTCCCCATTAACAGCTATTCACTCTCCCAGCCTGATTGTTATCAACTTCTTTGTCTGTCCAACTGCTTTTCTCTCTCTTTGAGCTCTATTTCCACCTATCATTTGTTCCTGACCCCCTTACCCCCGCCCTATCTTCTGCATATAAACCAACATTTTCCCAGCTACCGTCAGTTCTGAGGAAGGGTCACCGGACTCGAAACATTAACTCTGATTTTCTCTTCAGACGCTGCCAGACCTGCTGAGCTTTTCCAGCAATTTCTGTTTTTATTTCTGATTTACAGCATCTGCAGTTCTTTCAGTTTTCACTTTAATGTCTCGTTTGATAGATGGCACATCGAATAGTGCAGCATGGACCCTCCGACAGTGCGGCGCTCCCTCAGCACCGACCCTCCGACAGTGCTGCGCTCCCTCGGCACCAACCCTGGAGCAGTGCGGGGTTCCCTCGGCACCAACCCTGGAGCAGTGCGGGGCTCCCCCTGTGTTGAGGTGATTTAGAATGTATCTGACATGCAGCAAGGTCCATGTTTGGCACCTGTTGGAGTGAGTGTAATGAACGTGGTAATTAGGAGCGGGAGTAGGCCATTCAGCCCTTCGAGCCTGCTCCACCATTTAGTATAATCATAGCTGATCTTATCCCAGTCTCAACTCCCCTCTCCTGCCTGCTCCCATTGCCCTTTATCTCGCTTTTCATCGGAAACATATCTATATCTTTTTTGAATCTGTTGATTAATTCTGCCTCCACTGCACCTGGGAGCAGTGATTTCCACAGATTCACAACCCTCTGCGAAATAGTTTCTCCTCATCTCAGTTTTAAACCTACCTCCTCTCACTCTATGTCTATTACATCTTTTTGTCAAGACTGCCCCACAAGGGGAAACATCTGTTCAATGTGATGGGAACCTGCATTTCTGATTCTAGATCCTAGAATTCAGATCCTAGAGACGTAAGAACATAAGAAACACGAGCAGGAGTGGGCCATCTGGTCCATTGAGCCTGCTCCACCATTCAATATGATCATGGCTGATCATTTCATGGACTCAGCTCCACTGACCCGCCGTCTTACCATAACCCTTAATTCCTTTACTGTTCAAAAATCAAACTTTGCCTTAAAAACATTCAATGAGGTGGCCTCAGCTGTTTCACTGGGAAGAGAGTTCCACAGCATTCACAGAGACACCTGAAAGAATTTTGAGCCAATAAAGTACTTTTGAGAAATGGTCCATTTTGTTTTCCAAGTTAGTATTCAAACCTCAGCACCTCAAAACCAGCAATGGAAAGGAAAAATGCAGAATGTTTATTATCAACAACCTTACTAAACATAAATGCTTCTCCTTTAGTGTACAATCCAATCCACAACTTGCAACTGAACAGAGGTACAGACCCAGGTATGTCCCATCACCAGTGTAACAACCTCTCAGATTCAGGTGGCACTATCACCGTGCTGAATGGGACAGACTTTCAACAGATTTAGCAACTCAAGAGATGAGGCACTGTGGGCCATCAACAGCAACAGAATTATACTCCAGCACAATCTGAAAACTCTAGCCCAGCATAATCGCCCACTCAAATCACTACTATTTAGTTCAAAGAGCACAGGAGAAGCAACAGGGAGACCTAAAAATGAGGTGCCAACCTGGTGAAGCCACCAAACAGGACTACTTGCACGCCAAACAGCGAAAGCAGCAAGTGATAGACAGAGCTAAGTGATCCCACAACCAATGGATCAGATCTAAGCTCTGCAGTCTTGCCACATCTCATCGTGAATGGTGGTGGACAATTAAACAACTCAATGGGGGAGGAGGTTCCACAAATATCCCCATCCTCAATGATGGAAGAGCCCAGCACATCAGTGCAAAAGATAAGGCTGAAGCATTTGTAACAAGCTTCAACCAGAAGTGCTTAGTGGATGATCCTCCTCCAGTGGTCCCCAGCATTACAGATACCAGGTTTCAGCCAATTTGATTCACTCCATGTGATATCAAGAAACGGTTGGAGACACCGGATACTGCAAAGGCTATGGGCCCTGACAACATTCCGGCAACAGTACTGAAGACTTGTGCTCCAGAACTTGCCGCTCCCCTAGCCAAGC